TTTGAGGGTTTTGGTGTGATCAGTCTGCCAGGGCTGGAGCGGTCGGGGTCTGATGTTGCGTGTGGTTAAAGGCGCTAGTGAGTCAAGGGCTGTTGACAGCGCATTGTTGTAGGCGGTCATAACCAAGTCGGGGCAGGACAGGGGGAGGATGCGGTCATGGAGTTGATCAACTGCGGAGTGGAGGGAGGCAGGGTTAAGGTTGCGGAGGTTACGGCTGGTAGTAGTGTGACATTTGGAAGGGTAGGCATTGAAGGATGAGGAGATAGAGAAAGTAATCAGGTTGTGGTCAGAGAGAGAGGGAAGGGGGTGTTAGTGAGGTTGTGGGGAGCGCAGCGGTTGGAGAAGACAAGATCAAGGATATTACCGTCGGAGTGGGTGGTGGATTGTATGCACTGTGCAAGTGCAAAGGAGGAGGTTAAGTGGAGGAGACGGGCTGTGTCCGGGTTGTCGAGGTTGACAGGGATGTTGAAATCCCCAAGGATGATAGTGGGTAGCTCAGAGGAGAGGAAGAAGGGTAGCCAGGAGGAGAAGTCTTCCAGGAAGCGGGTATGGATCCAGGAGGCCGGTATATCACAGCAATCTTCAGGGGGGTTGGGGAGAATAGTCGGACGCAGTGGGCCTCGAAGGAGGAGAAGGATAGGGAGGGGGGGTTTGGGAGGACTCGGAAGGTGCTCAGCGGTGACAGGAGCAGGCCAACCCCACCACCTTTACGACCGTTGGGCCTGGGGTGAGTGGGTCCAGGTGAGACCGCCCCGTAGGAGAGTGCAGCAGGGGAGGTAGAGTCAGTGGGCTGGATCCAGGTTTCCGTGATCGCTAGGAGGTTGAGGGAGCGGGAAACAAAGAGGTCGTGGATGGCGGTAAGCTTGTTGCACACCGATCCACGATCGGGCGTTCAGGAGTGCACATGAAAACGGGGGGGAGATTTTAGGGAGCAGGGGGACAGATACTAAGTTGCGGGGGTTGCGGCAGGACATGGAGGCGGGAGGGTTTTGTGCGGGAGGTGGTGGAGGGCCAGGATTCGGGGAGATGTCCCCCGCGGTTATGAGGAGGAGAAGGGTGAGAAAGGTGGCATGGGAGCGGGATGTGCAGGAGCGTGAGAAACTACTAGTGGAGGTGTTGGGGTCAGTGGGAGAGTGGAGTAATAGGAGGAGGTGGTGGGTGCCATAGAGGGGTGAGGGAAGCAGTGAGGAGCACAATATACAAATGTTTGGGAGGAGCAGAGGGATATAGTGAATGGATTTTGGGAACAGAGGAGAGGAAAATGAGAAGGAGGAGTGGAAGAGGCATTTTGGGGAGGTGATGAAAGCAATAGTAGGGAGATGATAGCAATGAGGGGGAGATGTACAAGTTTTGGGGTGGAGCAGAGGGGTAAAGAAATGAGATTTGTGAACAGAGGATAGTAAAATGAAGAGCAGAAGAGGGGTGTATTATATAAAAAGGTACACGGAGTGGGACTCAGGTATGTAAGAGATGTTTCCCAATGGCTGCAACAGCACAGAATACGCCTTCTGGAGTGGCCCAGTCAGAGTCCTGACCTCAACCCGATTGAAATGCTGTGGCATGACCTTAAGAGAGCGATTCACACCAGACATCCCAAGAATATTGCTACACTGAAACAGTTTTGTGAAGAGGAGTGGTCCAAAATGACTCCAGATCGTTGTGCAGGTCTGATCTGCAACTACAGGAAACGTTTGGTTGAGGTTATTGCTGCCAAAGGAGGGTCAACCAGTTATTAAGTCCAAAAGTTCACATACTTTTTCCTTCCTGCACTGTGAATGTTTACATGTTATGTGCAATTAAACCATGGCAACATCTAATGTTTGTGTAGTATTATGTTCAGCAGACTGTGTTCTTCTATTGTTGTGACTTAGATGACGTTCAGAGCACATTTTATGCCCAATTCATGCAAAACTCCACGTAATCCCAAGGGGTTCACATACTTTTTCTTGCAACTGTATCTGTCAGGGGGTAATTCTTCCCAATGACCACAAGCGTAAAGAGTGATCTTCCCACTGACTATCACTCTAATGTATGTATGTTGTAGATATAGTCATTTTTAGCAGGGGTTCCCTGACACCGGAAAGTTATTTTAAGGGTTCCGCCATGTTGAAAAGGTTGAGAAAGGCTATGCTAGAGCTTGATGAGGAATGAGAAGGGAAGGGGTAGGGAGGAGTGTGTCAGCATTTTTTAAACACGGTCAGAGTTTGTTTTAAATGCCAGTGAGGCCATTTCCAATATTTTTGTCCTGACAGGCTCCCTTTAAAAGTGTTCATGTTAACATTAGAAGACAGAGACAGCAATTGTGTGAGTAGGACCAACATTTGGTCTTCAACCTTCAAGGAATCAGTGGTGGCACTACTATTAAAGGTATCTGGTGTTTCTTACTTTAAAACATCCCTGCCACCAACAAGATGGCTCCCTGCCTCCATTATGTAAAACATGGCAGGAACGCTTCAATTTAATGAGTACTGCACATATATTCTCCCAGGACTCTCTGAGTATATGTGGCTGATTAGATGAGGTGCTTGTATCGTGTAATGACGAAGATCTGCGTTCTTCATGACAAGGTCGCATCCACCACTAAAATCTCCTCCAAGGACAAAATTAAGGGCTGATATAAATTCTACAGTATTGATTGGCTATGACGTCCAGGAATAGCTCTATGAATAAATTATTCTAAATAAGCCCTGTAATGTCATTAAAGAAAAATATAGGTACTGCTTAAAATGAATCTCGTTTTTTTCATCCTTCAGTTGGGTGCAACCGAGGAAAGAAAAAAAAAATACATGAGCCAATTTAACTTTGATCAGTGATGTGTTGCGCTTTGCTATGGTACTTGCCATTTTATTATTGCTTAACCTTTGAGGACCCGTCCGTAAGGTTTTGGAACACAAAAGAATCAATTTTTTTGTTTTTTTAAGTTCGTACACTTCAGTTGCTGTAAACTAAGCCATTTCATGAAATAATTGGCAAAAAGCTAGATCCATTTGTTGACTCAAACCAAAAAAAAAAGAGTTTTAAGTTCTTAATCAGATGATACACGCAATTACAATCATGGGACAAATTGGTCCTCAAAGGGTTAAAGTGGTGTTTCACCATAACACAGTGTACAGCAAATCTCCATTCATAACATATTTAGTAAAAAATTTTATTTTTTTTTTCAATTATTAATTAATAATTTGAGCAATTTTTATTGTAATTTAAGAAAATATTTGGTCTTTTTCATATTTTAGAGAGACGGAAGTAAGGAAAAGAATTCAGCTCGGTGTATAACTTAACACAACAATGAAAAATTTTAAAGGTTTTGTTTTTTATGTATATTTTGTGATTATATTACAGTATGTACACGGGGAGCACATTAGCTCCTTACATTAGGCAAGTTCTGCTTTTGCAGTGCTACACAGTGGTTGTGCTTTTTACTGCTCTTGTTAGTGCTCTGTTTTACATGACAAGTCTACAAGTCAGCTGACTCATTAAAAACCCTCGGCCCTCCAGAGGATTTACCCCCCCCCCCCCCCTCCTGACCAGGCCATTTTTTGCGTTTACGGCGCTGCGTTCTTTAAAGCTGACAATTGCGCGGTTCATGCAATGCTGCACCCAAATTCAATTTTGCGTCCTTTTTTCCCACAAATAGAGCTTTCTATCGGTGGTATTTGATCACCTATGCTGGTTTTTATTTTTTGTGCTATAAACAAAAACAGACTGACAATTTTGAGAAAAAAACTATATTTTTGACTTTTTGCTATAAACATGTCCAGTAAAAAAATTGTAAAAATCCGCCCAATTTATTCATCATAAATTTAGGCAAAAATGTATTCTGCTCCATGTCTTTGCTTAAAAAAAAAAAAATCCCAATACGTGTAAATTAATTGGTTTCGTGTGAAAGTTATAATGTTTACAAATTGCGGTATAGATACTGGGCTTTTTTAAAAAACATTTTTTACTAGTAATGGCGGCGATCAGCGACTATTGCACCATGATTGGTGTGTTGTCAGTGAGAGGGATAGTAGCTGCCCCATCGTTGGTGTCAGTGGGAGGGATAGTGCCCTATTGTTGATTGGAATGGAAGGAATAGTGCCCCATCATTGGAATTAGTGGAAGGAATTAGTGCCCCACGTGGTTGGTGTCAGTGGGAGGATTAGTTGTCCCATCATTGGTGTCAGTGGAAGGAATAATGCCCCATCATTGGTGTCAGTGGGAGGAATAGTTGTCCCATCATTGTGTCAGTGGAAGGAATAAATGCCCCATCATTGGTCTCAGTGGATGAGGAATAGTGCCCATCATTGGTGTTAGTGGGAGAATAGTGCCCCATCATTTGGTATCAGTGGAAAGGAATAGTGCCCCCCATCATTGGTATTAGTGGGGGAGGAATAGTGCCCCATCATTGGTATTAGTGGGAGGAATTGTGCCCATTTCATTGGTGTCATTGGAAGGAATAGTGCCCCATCAATGGTATCAGTATATCAGGGGAGGAATAGTGCACCCATCATTGTATCAGTGGGAGGAATAGTGCCCATCATTGGTGTCATTGGAAGGAATAGTGCCAATCATTGGTATCAGCGTGGGAGGAATAGTGCCCCATCTTTGGTGTCAAGTGGGAGAATAGTGCCCCATCATTGGTATTAGTGGGAGGAAATAGTGTCCCTTCATTGTGTCAGTGGGAGGAAATAGTACCCCATCATTGGTATCAGTGGGAGGAATAGTGTCCCATCATTGGTATCAGTGGGAGGAATAGTGTCCCATCATTGGTGTCAGTGGTGGAGGAATAGTGCCCCATCATTGGTATCAGTGGGAGGAATAGTGTCCGATCATTGGTGTCAGTGGGAGGAATAGGTGCCCATCATTTGGTGTCAGTGGGAGGAATAGTGCCCCCATCTCATTGGTATCAGTGGGATGAATAGTGTGCCAATCATTGGTATCAGTGGTGGAGGAATAGTGTCCCATCATTGGTTATCAGTGGAGGAATAGTGCCCCATCATTGGCATAAGTGGGAGGAATAGTGCCCCATCATTGGTGTCAGTGGGAGGAATAGTGCTCCATCATTGGTATCAGTGGGAGGAATTAGTGCCCCATCATTGGTATCAGTGGGAGGGGAATTGTGCCCATTCATTGGTATCAGTGGGAGGAATAGTGCCCCATCAATGGTATCAGTGGGAGGAATTGTGCCCATCATTGGTATTAGTGGGAGGAATTGTGCCCCATCATTGGTGTCAGTGGGAGGAATGTGCCCATCATTTGTATCAGTTGGGAGGAATAGTACCCCATCATTGGTATCAGTGGGAGGAAGGAATAGTGCCCCAGGGGCCCCGGATCAAGGCAAAAGGAAGGGCTCCATCTGGCCCCATAGGCAGCAGTTGAGGATAACAGATCTAACAGCGATATCTCAGATTACACACATAAACACACACAGATAAATGGAGGGACATCCTTTCCTCTGTTTCCCGCATTGTGTGAATATTCTGTCCTCAATTCATAAATTTAATTTTAATTAACTTGAGAGTGTTTAAAAATAATTGTGATTTATTTATGTTTATTTTTTCGGTATTTTTACGAGGGATTATAATATGGCCAATATAAAGTAATTTTAGCTATATTAAAAAGGCGTGAGCCACTGGGTGGCATGAGGGGAGGAGCGAGATTGAGGGAGGCTGTATGTGGAGGAGAGGACGCTGGAGGATGTGGAGTGGATTTGAGATTAGCTTTAAGGGAGGTGAGGGTGGTTTTAACTGGGGGGTCGGGTGGGAGGTGCAGGGGCGGGTTGGTAGGGTTATGGGGGCGATGTATTTCAAAGGTGGCCGCAGAGGAGGGGGATGTGGTCGGGGGGTGGTTGGGGCAGATGTGAGGCTGGAGTGCAGGGGGGGCAGGTTGGTGGGGGTGGGGGCGTGGGGGGGGGGTGGGAGGGTGTGACTCGGAGGGGAAGTGCCCTGGCTGGAGGCAGGGGGGAGAACCACTGGGGCAGGGGAGGGGGTAGTGGGGTGAAGGGAATGGGGGGGAGATGGAGGCCAGAGCAGCTGGTAGACTGGGAGGGGGGAGCTGTGTGGACGAATTGAGGGTGAGACGGGTAACGTCGAAGTGGGGGAGGGGGAAGGAATAGGATGTTGGGATTTTAGAGGTGATATGAGGGCTGGGGGGGTAGAGCTCAACTGGTAGGCTGGGAGGGGGGGGGACCACATGGAGGGAGGCTGGGGGGGGATAGCTGAACATGGAGGATGGGGAGGGGGTTTAGAAGCGCAGCTATGGATGCTGGAGGGGATATGTTGGAGGGGGTAAAGGAGTGGGATTCCTGCACTTGGGGAGTGGGGTGGCATATGGGGTGGGGGGGTGGAGGGATGAGGAGGATCCACCAACATGGAGGATGCAGCAGGGTTCGGAACTGAGCGCGGGACGGGGTGAAGGGAAGGGGGTAGGTACGCTGGGGGGGGAGGGAATGAGTACTTGGAGGGATAGAGGATGCGGGAGGTTGTGGGGCTGAGGGGAGAGGGGAGGGGGGGGCAGGGCGGGGGGGGGGGGGGGAGGGCGGGGGGGGGGTGGGTGAAGGGGGGGGAGCCTGGGGTGGGGGGGAGCGCACTGGGTAGGGAGACCGGGGTGGGCTAGGGCGGGGAAGTTAGTCCTTTTTTTATATTTTTCGAGGGCGGGCAGGCTGGGGGGGGGGGGGCAGTGAGGTGGCGGCGAGGATGGTGGAGGGGTTAATGGGGGGGTGGGGGGCGGGGCGGAGGTGGGGGAGAGTGGGGGTGGTGGGGCAGGGAGGGAGCAGCATGGGAGGTCAGGGGGGCCGTGCGGGGGAGGGGCGGGGAGGAAGGGGGGGGGGGAGGAGAGGGTGGGGGGGTGGGGTGGAGGGGGGGGGATGGGGGGGGTTTCTTTTGTAATTTTAGAGCGGGGGAGGAGGAATGGGGGGGAGGGGGCGTCATGTGTGGTGGTGCCGGCGGAGGGGGGTTTTGTGCGGCGCTTGCTAACGTGGGGGCATGGGGGGGGGGGGGGGTTATGGGGGAGTCTAATTGGGGGCGGGGGGGCGGGGATGCGTCTCAGGGGGGTGGGGGGGACGGAGGGAGGGGGACGGTGAGGGAGGGGGGGGGGAGGGGGGGGGGGGGTAGGGTGGGGGGTTGAGTCGCGGGGGGGGGGGGGGGCTCGAGTTTAAAAAGGGGGGGACTGGGGGGGTGGGGGGGGGGGGAGGAGGGGAGGGTGGGGCAGGGGGGGGCGGGGGGGAGGGGGGGTTGCGAGGGTGGGGGGGGTGGGGGGGGTGGTGGGGAGTGTGGGGGGGGCTTGACACAGGTTTGGTGGGGGGGGGGGGGGGCCGGGGGTTAGGGGGCTGGGGAAAAGGGGGGGTGGGGGGCGGGTGCGGGGTTGTGGGAGGCTAGATAGGGAAGAGGGAAGGACCGGGCTGTCCCTGCAGGAGGTTTAGGCGGGTTGTGGGAGATAGTCGGGTGGGGGGCAGTTGCGGTGCGGGGGTGGGGGGGGGGGGGGGGGCGGAGTTAGGGTTGGTGATGGAGGGGCGGGGGGGGGGGAGGGGGTATTCTTTAGGGTGAGGGGGGGGGGGGGGCTTTGGGCGGTGGCGGGGGGCGCAGGGGAGGGGGGGGGGGGGAGGTTCGGAGCCTGGTGGGAAGGGGGGGGGCGGGGGGGGGGGGGCGAGTAGGGGGAGGGGGGCGTGGGGTCCGTGGGTGAAGGGAGGGGGGGGGGAAGTGTGGAGGGGGTGATGTTTCTATCTAATCTACTATTTTTATCTATCTATCTATTATTTTTTTTTTTTATTTTTTTTTAATCTTTTTTTTTCTTTTTTTTCTATTATCCCGTTTTTATCTTTTATTATTTCTATTTTTTTTTTTTTTTATTTTTTTTTGTTAGTTTTTTTTTTTCTTTTTTTC